TTGGTCTGTTTCTTTTAAATAATTTAAATCCCTCTAGCTGTGTGTTCCATTTGTGGGTTTCATCCCACCATGTTTCCGTAATGGCAACAATATCATATCTGCCCTCATTAACCTGAATTTCTAGTTCACCCTGTTTGCTGTTCATACTCTGTGCATTGGTGTATAGACATTTGAGTCCTTTATGACTGACCCTGTGTTTTCCTTCTACGTAACCTGTGTGGTGCCTGAGTTCCCCTATTGTCTTACTACCTATTTGGTTAGTGCACTTTGTGTGACACTCGCTATTAGAAGCTTGATTTTGCTTGACGGCAAGGTTGATATTCTTGTCCGCATACACATCTATGTTACATGCACTGATAGCTCTATAGTTTTTAGATTGCCGGGGACAGGGATGTTCTGTATCAATTAACTCACTGTCCCCGCTGTTTAGTTTAAATATTCCTCCAGAAAAGATGTGAATTTATAGCCAAGTATAACTTCATATGAAGTTCATTATACAAATACATAAATACATTCTGCAAGTTACCAATCTGTGAATCATTTGGCCAAGCTAGTTATTAAATAGCACTTTGGTTTCTGGAAAACATTTTGTGCTGGAAAAGTCAGTATTTTAAACAACTGTAAAGAACATGTAGTTTAATACACGTTTCACCAAATTTTATGGAATTTATGGCCAATTTTCTTGGAATCTCTTCAAATAATCAGTTCAAATATTGAGACAGAGTCCAATGATGCGATGGTTCCTGCCTCAATATGTTATGCCAGCATATGGCAAAAAAAAACTAAGGTGTGAGCAACATTGTGTGGTCATATGATCATACCAATAAACAGTAAAAATAATATATTCCTCAAATAGCGCAGGACAATTGTGTGAAACTAGGCTTCAAAATATTTTTAAAAAGAATATTCTGTTCAGTCATGTCCTAAAATGTATAAGGTTCATACTCTATTCCCCTCAGTATCAGTCTAATCTGATCAATTTTTAATTAAAATAGTATTGACTGAAAATTTCAGGAATTAGAAATTAAAATTGTCATTCTTTCATTTGTGGTGGTCATGTAATAAAATTATACCCTTTGTGTATAAAATTTGGGGAGAGATAAATACCATTACTAAACAAAGCATTCAGTGCTCTCTAGCTGTCAGGCCCCAAAATAATGTATCTTCATTTATTTTAGCTTTGTAGCATCTTATAGCATCTTTTAGCTTCAAACATCTTGAAACAATGCTTATATAAGGCGAGATCTTATGTAAGGACCTACCTCAGGTAAGCCACCCAAGAAATCAGAACTCTTGAAACAAGCATTGTCTCAAAAGGAAACTTTTATTAGGAGCTAGTGATAGCAGGGAATCAAAGTGAGATCTGAGAGAAAAAACCGCAAAGCGATATATTAAAAGTAGCATTCAATACTCCTCCCCCCCCCCCAGTGTCACAGTGTTCATTTGAATCCCAGCCAACCCATGTGGCATCATGTTTTGGTAACCGGTCTTTTTGGCAGGCTCTTCAAGGTTTCTCTCACTTTCGATTTCTTGTGGCTCCAAGCACAAACCATCTCTCAGATAAGGGTGAGACATTCCATCCCCTGGGGGAAAGGCAACAAGGCAACAAAACAGACAGTGAAAGCATCCCCAAAGCTCCGCCCTCCCAACAGAATGGCAGGCAACAAAGAAAGCTACAAAGCTAAAATAACTGAGGATACATTACTTTGGGGCCTAATACCAGCACTACAATTATTGCATTTATTATTGCATTTATTATTGCATTTATTTACAGTCCGCGGACCGGTACTGGGCCTTGGTCAGTTAGGAACCAGGCCGCACAGCTGAAGGCATGTGATGACTCTGCAGGGGTCTGGGAAGGGGCGGAAAAGTGGCAGGCCAGAAGCCATCTTGTTCAGTGCAAAGGTTCTCCAGCGGCTGCGCTTGCAACACACTTGCAACATCTGAGCTCCACGTCCTTCCTCCTCTTCCTCCTCCTGTTTCTTGTGCTATTGCTTCTTCTGCCTCCTGCTCTTCCTGTTTCCTCTTCCTCCTGCTACTTTTTCTTCCTCCTCTTCTTCCTCACTTTTCTTCTCTCCCCCTCCCAGCACCCCAGCTGGGCTCGTGCTCACTTCACGCAAGTCTCCAAGTTTACAAGACAAGTGCGTGCCAGCAACCGGGGGCTTCCCCAAAACCTTGTTGGAGGGGGATCCTCCCCCCGAGGTATGTGTTTGTGAGGGTGCTTTCTCAGGATGCAAATAGGGGAAGGAAGAAGCTACCTTTCAGTTAAAGCACTATGTCTTCAAGGGAATCTCTCTCTCGTTTGCACCTTTTCTAAGACTGCTGAGTTTTTTGCTTTTGTTTTGATGCTGCTCCAGATGCCTCATGTTTTGGCAATTTCCTGCCTGGTTTTTGTGGTTTAATTTGGTGTGTGTATTTGTGTGTGTGTGTGTGTGTGTGTGTTTGTTCATGCTCCTTTCTTCGTGCACCTCTCAATTTTGCAAGCCAAGAGCGTTCCTACCAGGCTTGCAATGGGGGAGGGGGAGGGGGAGGGGAGAAGCTATATTTCCCCTTAAGCACTGTGTCTCCAAGGGAATCCTTCTCTCATTTGCACCTTTTCCAAGGCTGCTAGGCTTGCGCAGTGTCGAGTTGGTTTGGTCTCTCTCTCTCTCTGAATGGTTTTCTCAGCATTTCCTCAAGGTGCAGGGTCTTTGGTTTGTTTTGCTGGAAGGCTGAGTTTAGGATTGTCTCTTTTCTTTCCCACTTTCTTAGAAGCAGAAAGTCACTGGTCTAATTTAATATAATAATAATAATAATAGAAATAGAGTACATTATTTATTTGTGTGTTTAGTTAGAAAATTTAGAATAAATATAATGCACTTAAATCATCCTGAAACTTCCCCCCCTCTCCCCCCGGGCCATGGAAAAATTGTCTTCTATGAAACCGGTCCCTGGTGCCAAAAAGGTTGGGGACCTCTGATTTACAGGACTAAACTTCAAGCTTAAAAACAGGGAACTCATCTGTCCCAAAGGCATGTTTTCAAAAGACAAATGGACTTTGTTTTTCCTTAGGAAAACAAAGGAAAAATAAAGTCCAGTTACCTTTTGAAAAAGTACCTTTGGGACAACCATGACCTGGATGACTGAGAATCTCCATAGAGAGGAAACTCATCTATTTAATTTTTGCAGCTAAAATCATAATTAATCAACATTGTCTAGATAACATAATAGCTAACATGTGAATTAACTGGTACATTGGAAAAAACATATAGATACAGTTAAAATAATGTAATATCAGAGGAAGGAGTAATTCTACCAAATTTGAATGATTTTATATTTTACCTCAATAGTCATAGATATAATATGATGGCATTCTAAATATATGGTAAATGTATATATGTATAGTACCTATCTGCTTGCTTACTTTTAATATTTTTTTTTGCATTTTCTATATTCTTTATATATCTCAAATTTATGTTATTTAGTTAATTTTGCTAACTCATGAATGATATTTCATCAAAATCAATTGAAATGATTACCCTTGTGTAATTTTTAAAATACAAAAATCAAACCATGTGTATTAATCTCTTTCTTTATCCTAATTTCTTTTGGCAGAAATTCTAAATGGAGGAATAAAGTTCAGGAGTAATCCTTACCTCTGCAACATGGAAAATGTTCTGTGGGATGACATTTTTGATAAAAATAATATTCGGAGTTTTGTACAGTTTGACACCAGTGAAAAAACAAAGGGATTAACAGAATCTCACATATCCTGTAAGTGTGCACAGAAGACATTCAATTCATGAATTTTACTAAACTAATTCTAAACAAACAGTGCAGTTACTTCATGTAACTGCAATAGATGTTTGCCCAATAGAAAAATAAATAAACTCTTTTTAAACAATAATTTATTTAGTGATTTATTTGCCTTCTGAAACTACATTTAGTATATACCTTGCAATATTTTTAGGATACGAAAGGACTAATTTACACTTTTATTGTACTGGAAAATAAAATGTATTTGAGTACAGAAATATATACACACATGTATTGTTTAGGATTTACAATAAAATTTGTTTATTTTCTTTCACTCTATATTTGACAGCTAACCTTAAGAGCAGGGTATTAATCCTTTATAATTTTCAGCAGTATTAAACTTTAACTTAAATAAAGCATAAAGTTATTCTTTAAATCAATTTAAGCTCTTGTCAACTGGCATCCCAGATGTTTTTGTATAGAGCAGGAAAAAATGAGGAAGAATAAGTATTTTAAAACACATTTTATGTTGTTTATTGGTATAAAGACATAAATGTACATAGAAAAGTGATTTCCATTGGTACTGCTATGGCATGGGTGAGATGTTCACAGCAGGTAAATTTGGGATGTGTGACTGATGCAGCTTCTTTAGTTTATATCAGATTATCTGCATCATATGTATTTTGGAGATGGAAACATTTTGGACTTAAGCCATTTTTTCACACAGGATTCTGGATTATCTAATATATGAATAACTTCACAGTTAGCTTTTTTAGGTAACAACTTTGCAGTACCTAAATTCAGATAGTCTTCAAGTTACAAATATAATGGAGCCTGTGCATTCCATTCCTAACTCAAAAACTCGTAGGAGTGAATCTTGTATGTTGAACAAGATCACTGCCTGCTCGTTAAAATGCACGTGGCTCGTTAAGTGAACATGAAGTATCTCAGGGTGTGGAAGGCCATGGAGGGCCTAGTGATGGAACAGGCCCCCAAGGCCTCCCCAACCCACTAATGTATTTCATGCTTCATGCCACACTGGACTCACCTTGAAAAGATCCGTCTCCTCTCTGCCGCGGTTCTTGCTGCTGTCCAGATCTGAGGCTGGGGATTGCTTCCGCATGCCTCCAGAGGCTGGAGCAGGGCATCATATGCCTTTTCCAGGCCGCTGCTGCACAGATCTGAGGTGTCTCTTGGCCTCAGATCTGGGTGGCAGCAGCCTGGGAAAAGCCTCTGGCACCTGGATCAGGCCTCTGGAGGGCTGCAGAAGCATACTCTGGCCTCAGATCCAGGCAGCAAAGGCCTGGAAAAGGCTTCTGATGCCAGGATCCAGCCTCTGGAGGCACGCGGAAGCGTCCCCCGGCTTCAGTTACTTTCTCTGTTGCAGAGAACAGAAGCAATAAAGTAACATGAGATCACATGAGATAGTAGCGTGAAATCTCACACCACTGGTCTCGTGTGATCTTGCATTACTTTAGGCCTCCATTCTTTGCGAACACACTGAAGACCTTGAGCAGCCAAGGAAGCGAAGGATCTTGATCTTTGTAGGGTGACTATTGAAGGCCTAGCGCCTAGGGAGACCTGGGGCAGGCATGGGGAGGGCAGGAATAACCAGGGTGAATGTTGCAGTGCCACTGCGGTCGCTCATAAGGGTGAACAACTGCAGTGGTGCCACAATATTTGTAATTTTGGGATTTGCCCATAAGTACTAGGGGGTGCTTATTGTGTAACTTCAAACATTCGCGGCTAAGGGAATGCTTGCAATTCGTGGATTACCTGTAGTTCCATTACATCATATCCTTTATTTAGTCTGTGGAAATGCAGAAACAACTTCATTTCTGATACCTCTAAACTTTTCTGGAAAAAATATTCTGATTTTAGAAGACTTCTCTATTCTGCTGGTTTTCTTTTTAAGAAAAGTGGTTCTGAAGTGTATTGAATACTGTCAATACTGTATATAATTATAAACTGTATATGAACTGTATATAAAATTCCTATATGAATTTCTCTCTAAGAGCAGCCTACTATGAGGAGTATGCTTCTAGAATAATGTTTGGCAGCCCTCTAAGTTGTGGGTATGTCTCTCTAGGCATTTGTGAATATGTTGTAAGCAGCTAGTTTCTCGACAATAGAATAAAATTATAAATATTTCCTAAACAGTTTTAGGAATAGGTAATATAGAATTAGCATCAAATTTGGTAACCTTGCTTTTTAAAAATGTTTATGTTTCTCTCTCTCCCTCTCCCTTTTCTTTCTCTCTGTGTGTATACGTTTGTGTGCTTGTGTGCATGCACATATGTATGTTTGTACACATCAAACTATCTTTGGCAAACTTTAGAAGCATTTGAGCATGGATTTAAATTAATGAATACTAAAAGAATAATTATTAATTATTATAATTACTATATTAAACACAGAATGGGACAACTCATTGTGGGACAATTCAATGCAAGATAATTCAATGTGAATTAACTGTACTGTTATCTATCACTGTTTTTTCAACGTTATTTTAATTTTTGTCATTTACATTTCATTTTTCCCTTCTTTAGCATCCTTTCTTTAATGATATTTCTTCAATAATATCAAAGAAAAGGTGGAATAGAACCATTAAAAAGGATGCTAAAGGAGGGACAAAATGAAATGTGAATAACAAAAATTAAAATAATTTCAAAAAAAAAGTGGCAGATAATGGTATATTTATCTCATGTTGAGTTATCCTGTGTTGAATTATCCCATAGTGAGTTGTCCTATGGGAGTTGGCAGGGCCAAATCGGCCACAGCAAAATAACCATGGCGAGATGACCACAGCAAATTATCCTAGACCCTATTAAACATGCTTATGATTTGTTCATGCATTGTTTCTGTTTCACCAATCTTTTTTCAAATCAGAACTGCATTTTTTGACAAATTATCACTTTCTATTTTTTTTTCTTTCTTTGTTGGGATAGAAAAACAGGTCAGAAATTGACATGAAATTTGATATGACCTAAAATGCTAGGCATCTTAAAACATACTATATAGTCTATTAATTATTTATTTTCTTCTCTGCACTAAATGTATGCTAAATAATAATCTTTTCCCCATATATCATCATTTAAAAAAAAAAACCCACTATGCAAATTCTTTGTATTAAACATTTTACCATTGCTACTGGAATTTTTCACTTCCCATTGTTTGGGCTATGCTGCTTCTTCTTGTGGTCTAAAGAAGAGGCAAAGCACAGAACACCAAGGCTTATTGTGATTCTCACAATAGATTTTTATACTATCATTTGTATGTGGTATTTGTACAACAGTTCTGGCTGAAACATCCTGAAGTGCTGATGCTAACACCCTATGAACAGCAGTCTTGGCTTTGGTTTATTCCACAGCTGAATATTCTGCTAGCATGTGTCTTAAGAAAGCCCACTTTCACATGGTCGATGTCCAACTCTGCCAGACAATGTGTATCATTTCTGGCATATTGTATATTCCTGAACGCCTGGAGAGAAGAATGGTCCAAGATATCTTGTGGCCTGACCATTAGTGATCTTTGGTGCTCTCTGAGTTTGGTTGTTTTCTTTCATTATTCAAACCAGGTAACATCATCAATGCTAGTCTAGCACTTTGGTAATGAAATGTTTGCAAGAAAGCACCAAGCTCAGAGAGCATCAAAGACCCCTCATTTCAACCCTGAGCTATAAATATTCTCCTTTATTGACATTAGTGATTCCTCCACCAAACCACCTGGTTTTAGCTGGCTTTGCTCTGTTTGGACGAAATTGAACAGGATTAGGTATGATACTGGAAGAAGTTCCTCTGCTCTGTATCAATGGGGATGGAAAGATTCCCTTGTTGGATTGTGGTGTCGATATGTAAACTATTAAGCATATTGTGCAACATTGTCCATGACATGCATTCTCTGATTCCCTAGAAAATCTGCACAAAGCAACACCAGAGGCAATTCCCTAGATAACTAGATAGACGTTTTGTATATAATTACATGGATTGTGTGCATATATTTACTTCTCTTTTGTCATATTCTTCTCATGCATTCAAGTAATAAAAAATAAAACTACAGTTCTCATTTTTGCTCATTAGCAACTTTGCATATCTTCACTGTTTGCTGTTCTATAGAAATAGTAAATCAGAAAGTTAAAGTTATTTTTATGCTTCATAATATGGAATAATTCATTGGAATAGAATTGACAGCTATTCCGAATTGATACCTTCCAAATGTGTTGAGATTACCATTCCCAGAATTCCCAGCAGCATAACACTAAAATAATAATAATAATAATAATAATAATAATAATAATAATAATAATAATAATAATAAATTTAATTTATATGCCGCCCTTCTCCCGACGGGACTCAGGGCGGCGCACAACATATTTAAAACAAAACATAAATACATTCCCCCCCGATAAAACCGAATTAAATCAAATTTTAAAGTTGTGTCTCTGTCAAATTGCTAAAAAATAAACCCCATATAAAATCCTCCC